AGTAGAGATGGGGTTTCACCGTGTTGACCAGGATGGTCTCGATCTCTTGACCTCGTGATCCACCCGCCTCGGCCTCCCAAAGTGCTGGGATTACAGGCATGAGCCACCGAGCCCGGCCTGAGAACACATTTTCAAGATCAGAAGGGAAGGAGTGCTGGGCATGCAGACCCTCTCTATGCCATTAGGGTTGCATGCATGGGGATACTGGGAGAGGAAGTAAAAACTGATTTCCCTGGCAGGGTTACCTGCCACTTGCCGCCGTATGGAATTTTTGGCCCCAATGCTAAGCAATGGAAGATGGGGAAGTACACTAACATATGTCCTGAAGCTACCAACACTCAGCCATGCTTACAAGAGCCTTCTCTCCTGGAAGGTCAAGGACAAGGATAGTCCCGGGGACAGAGGGCTGTGAGAAATACGCATCACGGTCATCTCAAAGATGCTCCCTTGCCTCAGCAGAGTGCTGCAACAGGTGGGGGTGGCAGGAGAGAGCTACACTTGGATTCGGGGGGCCCTTCCTGGCTCTGTCATTTCTTCTGTGGGCCTCGGTCTCCCCATCTGAAAGGTGGTGAAAAGGTAGCTAACTACAGTATCATTTTTTAGTTTAAAAAATTTGAGATCTCTATTCTGTTAAACTATTCCTCACCTTATTGTCCTCACCCACCTTATTTAGAAGTTCTAAACACAATTCTGAAAAGTTAAAATCTGTTTTTCTTATGTTTCATCTTAGCGGCCTGGGTGGCAGAACTGGGGCTTTCTGCATAGTCTAGTAGTTTTTGTTTTTTAAAGACACAGGATCTTGCTCTGTCATCTAGGCTAGGGTACAATGGTGTGATCATAGCTAATTGCAGCCTCAAACTGCCGGGCTCAAGTGATCCCCCTGCCTTGGCCTCCTCATAGCTGAGACTACAAGCGTGCACCACTACCTCTGTCTAACTTTTTAAATTTTTGTGGATATAGTGTCTTGCTATGTTGTCCAGGCTGTTCTCAAATTCCTGGCCTCAAGCGATCCTCCCACCTGAGCCTTACAAAGCACTGCATCCAGCCCGTAGTGTTTTAAATAGACCAAATTTTCTGCCATTTTTTTGAGACTATAGCATAATTAAACATGAAGACCCCAGTCTAGCAAGTCTTTGCATGGTTTAGTTTTCAAGACTTTCGGCTAAAAGGCAGGCTGAGCAACTTAGATAAATGCTTTTGTCTTCTGTTTACAGGGGTATAGACAGAGTCACAAATAAAGCCACCCAACCCCCAGGGTGCATCCAAAGTACCCACCTTCACCAGTGCTGGGCCAGGCTTTGCTGAGGACACAGTGTTTGTGGGGAGGACAGTAGCTGCAGGCCGTGAGGGAGGCTGATCTGCAGTTGGAGGAGTTTTCAAGAATTCAGGAACTGCTGGGGACACTGAAGCAAACTGGTAGAAAAGGCAAAAATGTACAAGTCTGTGAAATTAATGATCATTAAAAACAGAAAAATCGCAATTAATAGGGAATGACCTGGTTTTTCAGTCCATTAGAAAAGAATCAAAGGAAAAATATGTGATTATGTCTGAGGCCCAGCTGGTGGAATAACATGCTTTGCCTCAGTGGAGCAATCATTTAGTCTTTGCTCCAAGAGCAGTGAATAACTAAAGGCAAGTAAGGTTAGACTGACTACAGTAGAGTATTTTCTCAGAAAGATGGTCAGAACCACTCTTTTTTGGCAGGGAAAGAAAAGTCCAAGATACTTGTATGTCTGATCAAAACAATACATGGTAGTCATAAAGTCCGCTAGCTACATAGGTTATGCGAACCCTGGCTGATGCAAACGTAACCTTCAGGCTTCCCTGCAGAGCCCGGTGAATCCCTGTATCACACTCGACCCACCCTCTGGCAGCATCTCTTCCTAAATGCCCATTCACCCATATATCTGTAAATGTGCTCTAAACCCTCTGTTCCTCTCTCCAAATCTGACTAGAACTCTCATTAACCATATTTCCCCATTTCTTGCAACAGAAGATTTAAAGAATACACTTTGGTAAGATTGACCTGTTTCACTGACAGCATTCTCTCACTTAAAAGAAGCAGCTACTTTGTTACCCAGGCCAAAATCAACAGTTACTGAATCTCAGTTTGGGGTCACATGTTATTAACGAGGCTTTACTCGGTTTTATGAATGCTCATTAGCAATCTACGTTACATAGATCTTAAGTATTCATTTATTGTAAAGAACAATTACTATTTTAATAAACCAGTCAAATTTTGCATATTGATTACTACTTGGACTTACTATACCAGCCTTATCTTAAGGAAAAGTGTCCTCCTCTATCAATTCCACTTCCCTGAACAACTCTGAAATTCAATACACCAACAACCAACATCAGTTCTCTTGTTAAAGTATTTGCATTTGAAAATAACAAACCGTGTTTTTCCTCCTTAAAATAAATAACCTGACAACTCGGAGGGCTATTAGCAGCAATAAACATGAAGCTTGGCACATACTAGTTAACTCAAATATTTGTTTAATTGATGAATGGCCATTCCTTCTGGCTTTACTCAGTCTAGGTCACGTTCTCAAACCCAGCTGAGATTGTGTGTGTGCGAGTATGCAATTCATCGTGCGTGCCCGTGTCAGCTCTCTCCCTGAGGTTTTAGCCACTGATTTCAGGTTTTCAGTTATTAGTAACTGTCAGTGTTGACAATATGAAAAAACTTACTTTGAAAGATGGCTGCCTTCAATTTCATTTTTAAACAGAAATGAGGGAAAGGGCTTGTCTAAGAGATTAGACACCTGTGTTCCAGCAGACTTCTGTCCCCAAAGAGCCTTGAGACATCCGGCTCCTCAGTGAATCTCTCAGCAACCAAACCTCACACATAAAGTAAAAGATGATGTTAGCTGATCACTTCTTTACTGAATATGACTTTATGTGATTTATTTTCCTTTCACCTTGCATATTTTTTTGAAATGGAGATATTTATCTCTGGGTCTACTTTTACAGAGGGGCAAACATTCCTTGGCTATTACGTAACTGTTATGTGAAGTAGACTCAAATGCTTGAATTCTGAACTCTATTTAGATTTCCTTGCATATACGTCCTACTCACCTGGCAAGCTATTTTACCAGTCCAGCCCTCACTGATGAATTTGAGAGCAGTAAGTGTTAATCATACGAAAAATAACTCAGGAACATGGATGTGGTATCAAATCTAAGATTTATAAAAAAAGTCTTCCCTGTATTACTAGACTGTGCCTAACAAACTGTAGCCTTGATTACTGATATGCCTATCTTACTAGCTTTTTTGGTATTTTAGC